TGAAAATGTTTTGAAAGTTGTTTTAAAATTTTAAGTTGAGTCAACTTTTTACAGATCATGTTTTGTAGTCCATGCAAAAAAGTTGACTCAACTTAATGTTGCACAGCTTTTCTTTTTTTTCACTCCACTTTTAGGTTGAGTCAACTAAAAAAAAAAGCTCAGCAGCAGGTTTTATTTACAGTGTGGTTGTTTTAGATAAAATTTTTACATTTACACCTTTTTAAGTTTTTTAAAGTGCATGATGATGTACAGTATATAGTAACATAAAATAAATACTGGTAGCTCATTGGCTAATTTTGTGTACTATAATTTACATTACAAACAATATAGCATTCCAAATGACTAAGAATGTCAATAAAAGTTGAAAAAACAAACAAACAAAAAAAAATTAAAATGAATGTATCTGAACTAGCTATAACATAGCATAAAAAGTGATAAGGTCATTAATTGCCATGAGACTGTATTAGATTAGTTTTATAATGAAGAACAAAAAAAAGTAATTTTATTAATATTTTACTTTGAAAAAAAAAATCCTATCCGAACCAAACATAAAAAATAGATTCATTAACTTTGAGCACATCTTCTCCAATATTGTTGATAAAGAACTTTTGAAATCATCAAATATTTTAATTGAGTTAAGGAGTTATTTCTGTAGACACCCTGTCACCCCATCATCCCCATGCTCATTGGCATTCACACAAAAATGTCAGCTTTTAATTAAATGTACAGTATAGAGGGAAATTAAAGAAAAGAGACCATCAGTCAGAGGAAAAGACATGCTGCGAGTTCATCTTGAGAATCTGTCATCGCTCAATCTGAAGCTTTAATGTTAATGAGACTTTGCTAATCAACTTTTCGTTTGCAGCTTTCAATTTTCTATACCCCCCACCCCACAAAGAAGGCTAATGTTTTGTTTGCTTTTTTGTCATTGGATTAATAACAGACCTGCATGCACCGTACTGTTACAATAGAATAAAGATAAAAGTAGCAGCCAAGGTCAAAACTCGTTAGTTTGGCTAGTGTGCTAGTTTTTCTTTTGTTGCTAGTTTTTCTGTGTGTGTGTGTGTGTGTGTGTGTACGTGCGTGCGTGCGTGCGTGCGTGCGTGCGTGTGTGTGTGTGTGAATGTGTGTGTGTGTGTGTGTGTGTTTACATATTGCAGCCATTTTCTAAAATCCTTTAATCATTTAGGTACATTGATAACCTTGTTAATGTACACACAGCATCTCATATTGACTGAAAAACACAGAACTGTTGACACTTTTGCAGATTTATTAAAAAAGAAAAACTGAAATATCACATGGTCCAAAACATTTAGACCTTTTGCTGTCCTTTTCTTCTGATAATGCTTTAGATGGTTCTACACATTCATTTGAGTCCAGTTTTGTTTGATTGTATTGATTGAATATTTTTAGTTTATTTTATATATTTATATTTTAGATATAGACAGTGCTCAGCATATATAAGTACACCCAGTGCTTAATTTGTGTGTTGCGAAGTCCAGGAACTGATCGGGGTGACGGATCTGGCATGTTACCCATGGATGTAGAGGTATCGCACATGAAAGAGCAAGAGGGGGTGGGAGTGGAGTGCAAGGGGGTGGGTTGGTGTTGGATGGCTGGGGGTGTCGCGGACGAAAGTTAAGAGCAGCGGGGTTGTTTTGGGGTTGTGTACAAGTGAAGAAGGTTGGGGAGTTGCGGAAGAAAGTAAAGGTAAACAGCGGACGGGGGAGGAGGGCGATTGGTAAAATGAGATGCCGGATCAGATTTCAGAGGCGTGAGTACAGCCTTAAGCCCTTAAGTACAATTAAGCCCCGAGTACACCCTTCACAAATCTGTCTTTTAAATTCCTATTTGTAATAGGAGGTTATATATATATATATATATAGTGCATATACATTAGATTAGTCAGTACTGAAGCCAAATCTGGAGCTCTTCTAACAAAATAACCAACGATAATGGTCCAAAAACAAGTACAGCCAAATATATATGTTATAGAAAAATATTTAAAAACAAATTTAAAAACGAGGAAAAATCAAGAGAAGCAAAAAAAATGTCAAAAAAAAAAATATGTTGAAATTTTGTAGATTGTATTTATTTGTTTATTTATTTATTTGCAATATTTTGTTTTAGATCTGTTTTGTTTAACCCTCCTGTTGTGTTCACCTCCTGGGGTCCATTCTTTGTACCTCGCTTAAATGATCTATGATGATTTGGCAGATCCTGGATCTTTTAATCTTGATAACTGATCTCTCGCTGATTTGGTTCTTCAAACAAGTTCGCGAATCAGATTAGAATGTCTGGATAAACTAGTCTGAGATCGCTGCGTGTGTGGAGAAGGACAGATCTATCGATCCTCGAAATCATGATCAGCAATGCAACGATTGGCTGACGGCACAGCAGCGTAATGACATCATCTGATTAATATTCAATTATCCATGTGAGCAAAATGACATCAAATTAGCAGTAAACGGTTTGATGAATATGAAACGCTATAACTCTCCACATTTGTTGTGAACTGCAGGCTTTACGCTTTCATGTGTCAAGAGTATTCATCATGTATTTCAATGCATATCAGTGTATTTAGTTCTACATTTAGAAAAGATTTTCTTTATTATAGTAGCCGTTTTTTTAAATCGCTGTATGGAATAACTGGATGTTTACAAGAGCATTTTGATGTTGGTAAAGGCATCTGCAACTTTTGTGAAGCATAATCACTGGCATATTAACTGTCAAAACATGTTTATGCATAAATGTATTATTGCTTTTTTTTAAAAGTTACGTATTCTGCATTTCTATTATAATACACAAATTGTACTAAAACGATTTTAAAAAGTTCATATCAATAAGTTTTTTCTTTGCACCACCAGGTGGCAGTCTTTGTACTTTAATTTCGAGGGTGCAGATTGCATAGGTTTTAATAATAAATATAACTTTATTTGTTTTATTAATAACTATAAGTTTATATATATATATATATATATATATATATATATATATATATATATATATATATATATATATAGTTAAAAAATATTTACTATTTTCAACTGTCGTATCAGCTTTGAAGAACGAAACGATCCTGGATCGTGTCAAATCGTCAATATCCAAATCCAGCTAACTGAGTAATCCACGTACGAAGAACGGACCCCTGCCCCTTACTTTAGTGTCCCCGGTCAAAATTGACCAGTCGGTTTTAACTTGAGCTCTTTATTAAACACATAAAACATTTTTTTATTCAACATCATTTAGCTGTGAACAATGTCTTAAAGTAGTGTTAACATAAACTGATAGAGTTAGACATAAAATAGCTGCAGTGATAATACAAATAGTTAGTGAGTGAGTTGAAGAAGTATACAGTATGTAGTGGCACATCTTTCATCCACATCCTTATCTACCACCTTTTTGCAGCTAGTCCAACAACCAGTATTTGAAAAAAAATGCAAGTAAGACCAAATCCTTTTTTAAAAAAGGTTTACTGAAGAAATGCAAAACAAAAATAGGGTAAAATAGACTCGATATAGCTCGGTCACAAATGGGTGTTGCTTCCAATACCCATACCTACAATCTGACCCAAACGTACAAACTAATGACATCATGACATATTACTGTCGGAAACCAAAAAAAAAAATCAAATTTGTTTTTAAATTGTATTAATTATTAAATGATGCACTTTAAATAATACAATCTTTATGAATTCTTATTATATTTAAATATTTTTTACCAAATTTTTACCATGTTTGAACCTTTTTGACTAAATCATCACAAATGAATTATGCACAACTGGCTCTTGCTCAGTATATAGGGATGTTTCCTGTCAGTTGATGAATATAGTCTGGATATCCATTTTTTTTTTTTTCCTATGGAGGTCACTTTTGACCGGGAACACCACAGGTGTAACAAGGTTCATTAAAACCTTTGAAAAAAAAAAAAAAAATCAATGAAAAAGGGGATCATCACTTGTATATGTTCATGTGCACAGTGTGGAGGATATCATAAGGCCTTGAGGCAATCAGATGTAAAACACAATATTTATGATTAAGTTGCAAATCGGTCAGATTTTACCCGAACACGACAGGAAGGTTAAATACACCAAAATATATTTCACTAAGAAATGGATAAAAATATTAATTTTTAAAATGAGGTGTATTTAATAATTAGCGCTGTCTATTTTTTAGCATTATATATTGTCTAAGCAGAGATCAAACCCTCATTGTACTGAATTATCATAAATGAAAAGTGTAAATAAATGTAAAACACCTCAAAAGCTATGGTCATCTATGACAGATATTTTTAAATGATATTTATTTCCTCTACCACAATCTGTATCCATTTATAAATAGAGGGAATTCTCAGCTAAATATCACAGATGAAATGCGGTCGTTCAATCAGTCCATTTGGTATCAGAAATTCTCCATAGGTGACGTTCAAAATGATTGGGTCACCCTTTTTTTTGAGGGTCTGTTTGTTGAATTTAAGTTACATTACATCTACATGCCAACTAATTCTCAGTAGATTATAAATAGACTGTTAGGTTGGGGTTAGCGTTTGTGTAAGTTGTACTTGCAAAGTTTCTTATAGTCAATTAAATGTCTGTTGAGCAGCAGTATCAACCGATAATACGCAGACAGTCTATTAATACTCAAATGGACCATCAAAATAAAGTGTTACCAATGATTGTACAAATGTTCTCGTTCTAAAAGTCAATTCTACAATGAAGTTGACAGTGAACCTTTTAGCTTGCTCAAAAGTGAATAGCCGACCACACTGTACAAAGCAACAGCAAACACACTGCATACCTACTGTACACCAAATGCCTGCAACATTTCTCAAACCTGTAATTACCTTCCCTAAATCAAATTAGGCACTTAAGAAGTGTTTTGCTTCCGCGAATAAGCTAGAGTTTCAGCCTCGCTTCAGCCTTGTTTTAAAGTGCACAGCGGGTCTTTAATTACAGCAGCCGATTCCCCAGGTTCTCATCAAGGCCTCTGATTACATTTCAGGTCAACCGATTACGGGACCACTTACGAGAAGCTCAATGAAAAGGTGGGCGTAAAGACCATCCTCAGCTATCTGTACGTCAGCCCCAACAACAAGCGCAAGGTGAGATTTACGGCATCCATTTCTTCCATCTCAGTCTTCATGATGTGTCTTTTACGAAAGCATTTTTCAAGGTGATTATGTTTATGTGTGTGTGTGTGTCGAGCTTCAACCCCCTGCTCATTTATGACCGCTAAGCCACACTGGAAGGATTTCACAGGTCTTCATCTTGGCTGGGTTTTGCTGTTGGCTAATTCATCCTCTGGTAGTATTTACTAACCTCTCAGGTTTTTATGAGATCAATACATTTTAAAGATTCACTGACTACAGTTTTCACTTGGAGATATAGTAGCGTTCAAAGGAAAACCGCTGTCGTGTCATTAATATTGATTAAGCTGTGTTTCTATTTTCTTCTGGAGTTTTTTTTTCTCTGTTTGAGGGCTAATGAATTATGAAGTGGGTGAAAAGAGAGTCATAAATTGCTTGTGTTTTAATCAAAGGCTTGACAAGAAGCTTGTATTTATGGCTTGAGGCTTGGACGTTTGCTTTGACAGTCCACGTTATCTATCTTTGTACTCCTTCTTTAAAGGTCTCATGAAATAAAAATAAAGCTTTTTAGATGTTAGCATCAGTATTGCTAGCTGTTAAGATATCTGTAAGCACCAAAATAGTGACACAAATCCCATTTAAAAGATATAAACATGTAAAGTACAGCTTGTAGCATACTACAGTTTCTCATCACATCATAACCAATCAAATGCTCACTAGTATCTGACAAGCCCGCCCCTTTCAATCTGATTTACTTTTCATTTGATCCACTTGAGCTCCATCACTTTTACTGCAGTAATGCCATGGCAAAGCTGTGATAAATAAAACACTATTGGCTATTGTTTACGCTTGTCTTTATCAAAAAGAGTCAGTTATTATTTGCTTGTGATCATTAGTGTTAATTATGTCCCATAATGAAGATGATGTGTGCCTGAGGTGGTTAAAAGTATCGGTCAAGCTAATGTAGCATGCTAAGCTTCAATCTAATTTTGGAGCTTGAGGTTTGTGGGGTTAAATCCATCTTTCTTTGTCACATTTTTAAACCTCTTTATTAAAAATCGTCTTTATATTTACTTGTGGATGTTTGTTTGTTAAGTATGTCCTGTAATGATGATGAAATCCACATCTTGTTAAAAGTACAGTTAATAAAATATAATTTGTTTTCTGCTTGTTCAAACTACTAATTAAAATTAGCATCAACACAATTCTTTTTTTTTTTTGGGACAACTTAAGTCTTGGTCAGATCACACCATTTCTTTTGTTGGTTACAAAAGTCTTGGTAAAAAAACAGTTTTGTCTTGGTAAAATCTTTTTTTTTGGGGGGGTAGCAAATATACGAGACTACACGTTCGCTCATGATCAGTCATCCCATAATGTCTAAGACATTAAAAAAAAAAAAAAAAAAAAAAAAAAATATATATATATATATATATATATATATATATTTTTTTTTTTTTAAATCTAAATGAATATTTTTCGTTCCAGGGTTGCTTATTAAACACTCCCTTGCCTAAACTTGCCATGAGTGATACAAAAAAAAAAAAAAAATCAGATGCTCAAGACAAAATAATTATGTAAAAAATGAGGTTTGTGATACAACCAACCCAAGCTCATTTTGAAAATGCCCCGTGGACGTTTCTGGAGACCGCCAAATACGTCCCGGGAGGTACGTATTTTTTGCAGTTTTTGTTTGTTTTCGCAAGAGGCCACTGTGTGCGCTTTTTCGTATCTCAAATGTCTCTCACGAGTGCCGTTCACGCCCACGCTGTTCTCGCGTAAACCCACCAGAGGCTGCTGTTGACAGACTGAATGATTGACGGGGCGACTGGCCAATCAACTGACCCACCCTCCTCCTCCCCTAAACCCAACCAATTTTACAGATTGACCCGCCCGCCCACTTTCTTAAACCTACCCGACGGTTTAGAAAAAGAAAAAAGCCCTCATCTGATTTTTACCACTTTCGAATTTTACCACATTCTCACCCTGTTATTCACTTGTTCATTTTATTTTTTGGACTCTGTTTTTGTCTTATCTGATTTCTGGAATCTTTCCCAGACTCGAACCCGGTCGTGGTCGCCGTGGTCAACTCTTCTCCGCCGTTGTACATGACGTATATTTTTCTTAAATTTTTTTTTTTTTTTAAATGATTTTTGTTTGGTATAATTTGTATCTTCATTTTAATGTATTTTTTGCTGGTGCTTTATCTACTTGATAAACAAGGATAACAAATAACATCTGAGGTGACGTGCTTCAAAACTAGTCCACTATATGCTTCAGTGCCAAAGCACAAACTGGTTTGTTAAATAAAACAAAACCTTGCCTAAATAAAATTAAGTAAAATATTTACTTTCAGAGAAACCTATATTAAACTGTTTTCATTTTTAATGAAAAAATCATCTATTGCCAGTTAGTCAATTTAATTTGTTTAATCAAGTAATTTGAATGTATTAGTGGCACTGAACGTGTCTCCAAAATACCTTGAAAGAATTAACTCAGTCGGAAGGCTGAGAGAACTCAGTAACTCCTTGTGAGAATGGGGATGTCTGCATTTTTTGTCAAATACAATTGCTTAACACCCTTAATATTATAGAGAAAGTAGTTAAAGTTTGCATAACCAATAATTGATCTCATCCACCCAAGACCACCAAGTAAATATGCAGTCTATTTTTGATTACCTGACCGCAGATTAAATTCAGCACCTGCTGAGATAACTGAGAAATGATGTGCTCCTATTGCTCAATTTCATCCAGGTGACTAAACTCGTTATGAAGAATGGAAAAAAAGAAAATGTCTGTTGTCGTGAACTATGCCACATTACCTGAGAAGAAACAATTGAATCCTGTGTCACGACAGTCATTTGTAGTTTATGACTCTCCCCGACACCCGATGTCAAGAACATCATGTGATCTGACAAGGGCTTTGATTTAGTTTAATCCACTTTAATTTGTAAAAATATATATATTTAAAAAAGTTAACTTAATCTATTTGGGTTGGGACGACATAAATAAATTATGTTAACATATTAAGTTTTACAGATTTAAGTGGATTGAACATAAAACTATTATGCTACCAAAACTTAAAACCTAAGAACTGTGTTATTGCAGCTCGTTTTAAATAAGTAGTTTAAACAAACATCAGTTTGGGTGTATGCAAATGACTTTTTCCTAAAAGAATAAGTGTTCATCAATTGTTCTCTATTTTCAATCTTTACATTTTGATTGAGAAGCATGTGGCTTCTTTAAACTTCCCTTTTAAATGTCTTTTCTCCACTTTTGCTATTTTCTTTATCAAGAAGAGTCAATTATTATTTGGCCCGGGGTAATTAGTCAGTTAATTATGCCCCGTAATGAAGATGAAATGCACCTCGGGATGTTAAAAGTAGTGTTGTTTCTGCTGTAAAACCGTAGCTTTAAGCTAATGGCTAATCAAGTCTGAAAGGTGAAGTGTGTGGATCTGAGTGAAAATGAAGTACCCATGATTATAGCTGGTCTTATATTTCATAGTTTAATCAGTGGCGCATTATTTCTGCCTCATTTGACTATCAAATTATAGTGTTTTGAGCTGATTTTATATTGATTGCTCTCACAATGAACAATTTCTAATCAATGAAACAGCTTCGAGGGTGGGGGGAATACACATTGAGTAGAAATGTTCATTATATGCAGATTTGATTAATTTTGCTAGTCCTAAAAAGTGTAGTTTATACATTTTTAACGATATAATAGTAACACGAGGCTTTAACATGCTTATTAAATTCACTTTAGTCAAGTTAATTGGATGCAGACACCATGGGACATTTCATACACAGTGAATTAAAATCATCAGACGCCAATTGATTAAATGCAATCAATTAAACACTTAATTGTGTATATTGGCTGTTTTCATTCAATTACTCTAAAGGAATCAAGTAATTGCAGCAAAATTTCTAAATCGACCAGCACTTGAAATATTGACCAGCCTTTAACAGCTAAATGAAAACATATAGGCAAGTTATTTGTGCTGCTGATTTCCAGTTAATTGTTCTTCCTTGTCTTGTTGTCTTCATTGTGCTGTTTGAACGCTGAGACATGTGGCATTGTGGCACTCAATCATAATGTAATAATCTGGGATGTTTCTCTAACAGATCAATTTTGTTTTGCCTACAGATGTGGGTGCTTATTTAGGGATTCATATTTCCCAGCAGTTCAGAAACGGCAGATTTAATTACATCATGTCTAGACGGCATCTCTAGCACCACCACTAACACACACAAATGTCATTGACGTCTGCTCAACACTACTGTACTGTTCATCTGCTCTAAATTACAATCATCTTTTTACTTCTTGCACAGCAGAAGAGATTCATTTATCATTTTTTTCCCTGTGAATTATGGCAGTAACTTTCATTAAATTGTATGATCAGTGAAGTCTTTTAACCCTTTAAAAAGGCAGTATGTAGGATTCGATATTACAGTCCAAAATCTTAGTTTTATTTTTTATTTATTTATTTCTTTTGTCAAATATGTTTTATTGAAGACACAGATTCAGAAAAAAATAAATAAAAATCTCTGTTTACATATTTTGTCCACATATAACATAGGCAAAGAAAATAAGAACAAACAAACAAACAAACAAACAAACAAACAAACAAACAAACAAACAAACAAACAATTAAATAAATAAATAAATAGGAAAAACAATAAAAAGGAAAAACAATATGAAAATCATAATAATAATAAATAAAACAAAACACCCTTATAACAAGCAAACTTGTTACAAAGACCTGTTTAAACAACAGAGTATGATGACAAAGCATATTAAAACATTACAGAGGTGATGGTTATTATAATAGGTTTTAAGGTAGCAGATAAAATTATTCCAAATTTTGTCAAATTGTTCAATTTTTCTTTTCAATTTGTATCTAATTTACTACAAGTGTAAAATAGAAGCAAGGCCAGAGTTTACATGTAGGGGATTCCTTTATTTCCAAAACAGTAGTAGTAGTTTCCTGTCAGTTATTAAACAGTATAAGAGCAA